TCAGGGAGTTTAAGATTTTTGGCATCTGCCTGATCAATCCCGGTGGCTGCCTGGTGGGGTCTGGGTCCCTGGGCTCTGCTGGGTCCCCGGCGGGGGTGGTCGCCCCTGGGTCCCGGGTCATTGGGTCCCGGGCTCGGCCAGCTAGGGGGTGGGAGGCTGCAGGCGGGTCTGTGGGCTTGCCGCCGATATCTCCCGGGACTCTGCCGGCTGCTGGTTGTGGTCCCCCGGGGCGATCCTCTGCACCTCTCGAGGGGAGCGGGGGCTTTTCTCGCCGCAGTCTCCCTGGAGTTCCTGTGCTCTGGGGCAGCTCCTGGATCTCTGGGACTTGGGAGCTCCCTCAGTCTCCTGCACATCTTTAGGGGGCAGATCTATGGCCCCTCACACTCTATTGGACGCTCCTATAGAGAAACCTTATATAAACAAGTACGTGTACACACACAGGTGCTCACATGGTGCTCTCATAAGTATGGACTAAGGCTATGGTGGGCACTTAATGCACTGTGATTTATTACCATGTGATTGTTCAGTTAAACAATGTTGATTATATATTTCTTCATCAAGTTCACGCAGTGATAGCTTGATCTTGTTGTATTTTTGTTGTGTCCCATTTGTTTTTGTTTTTGTTTTTGTTTTGTTTTTTCTTTCTTCTCTTTCTGCAGGTCTAGAAGCAGACTCTTGTTCATTATTGTTTATTTTTGAGGACCGGCGTTGCGAACTGGACAAGTTGTCAACCGCCACTGACACAGCGAATCTGTGTCACAAATCCGCTATTTCCTACAGGATAAAGCTCTGCTCCGGCCAAGTTGATTTAGCAGCGTTTTAACACATTTTGTGTGGGAAAACGTACTTTCGGTCAGCCATTTTGTGCTAACCGCCATTTGGGGATAAGGACGAACTACTGTTGGGACCTCTCCTGCCAGAGGGGAGGGGCGGTAAGCCCACAGTATCTGTCATATTGCAACAGGGGCATCCCTACACGCGCTTTTAGATACTGGTTCAGATTTTACAATCATGAGCAAGTCTCTTTTCGACCTCGTCTGCCTGGATGTAGGTGGAACCGTACGCCCTCCAGAACTGATCCCTTGCGCATTAACTATCCATGTCTTCTCTCCCTCTACAGTATTCTTGTCTTCCAAGACTCTGCTCCAATTCACGATCGGTCCTATGAGCTTGACACACCCCGTGTTCATCTGTGAGAGTGGAACCATGCCTTTGCTCATTGGCATCAATCTTTTGAAGCGCTTTGAAGCTTTTATCAATCTTGGAGAAGGGGAACTGAGGGCAGGTGTTAGAAAACCTCTGCCGTTCATTCCACCTTCTTTCTCCGACTCACACTGCCTTGCGGTAGGTGACCCTGAGCATGGGGAAACCGCATGGTCCCTGCCAAGCTCAAAGCCATCAGAGATTCCCTCTGATGTTTTCTCTCAGATTGAACAGGTCGTGGACCAAGCAGATGCTCTTACCAACAATGTTGAGCGGGACAAACTACGACAACTTTTGTTAAAATACAAAGATTTTATTTCGCTCGACTCCTTGGACTGTGGTCTAACCAATATCCATGAAGTCAGGGTTCCTACACTGTAACACGCTGCACCGACTTTTGTGCATCAGTACAAGATTCCCCTGGCGTCCCACGGACCAGTCCAGGAAATCATTGAAAGCCTCTTGGCGAAAGGGATCATCCGACCCTGCAACAGCACCTACTCGGCTCCATTGTGCCCAGTAAAGAAGCCTAATGGTAAGTGGCGACAAAACATTCACTACAGGCAACTTAACAAACAGGTTCCCTTGTCTAGGTGGCCAATGGTGCGCCTGGAACAGGAACTCCAAAAAGTGAAAGACGCTAAATACTTTTCCACACTCGACATTGCGTCTGGATTCTGGACAATTCCTGTCCAAAAATCGGACCAACACAAACTAGCCTTCTCCTTTGCCAACTGCTAGTACACCTTCACTCTGTGTCCTTTTGGTTTTTCCAACTCACCAGCTGAGTTCAATATCTTCTTGGACAAAGCCTGCCCTGATGCTCGAAAGCGAGGTACCCTCATCTATGTCGACGACATTCTTGTTCGTAAGCGTACCTTGGATGACCACCTGTCCGAGCTGGACCATGTCATGGGTCAGCTCGCAGCTGCTGGTGCAAAAATTTCTCTCGCCAAAGGTCAGTGGTGCAGGTCAAAGGTTCAGTTTGTTGGCCTCCTTGTGGGACCACAGGGAGTGCAGCCTCAACTTGGCAGAATTCAAGGTGTGGCCACCATCCCACCTCCTACGAATGTCTTCGAACTTCAGAGCTTTCTAGGGGTGTGCAACTACTCGCGCCAGTTCGTAGAACACTACGCTGATAGCGAAACCTTAAATGACTTTAAAACAAAAACAAGTAGAAGCGTTAAACGCTTTTCTTCTAAAGAAAGACGTTTGCTGAACGTCGCGGATGTCACACACAGCGATGCTCAGTTTATCATAAACAACGGAGACAGTGGCTGAGTTCGCTGCGGCACTGTCCTCTGTTCTAAATGACTTGAATGTCTTTAAAACCACAACAATTAGAAGCGCTAAAATCCTTTTTTCTAAGAAAAATAAAAGATGTTTGCGCCATTGCCAGATGTTTTTTATTTACTACAAATAAAAAAAATACTACAGCGTCTCGCAGTACAGTCGGCATTTCAGTCTTTTTTCTGATTGGTTATTTTTGAGCTGGCTAGTCCCGCCCCTCATGTGCCTCTCTTCCGTGAGTTACCAGACTCTCTCTGTGCAGAATTAAACAGGACGAGTCTGGCAGGCCAGGCTAGTTTCATACAGAGCTGACAGTGACCCTAGAGGAGGAGGAGTGGCTACTTTTATCTCTTCATCCTTAGTCTCAAAAGTTATCATACCAAAAGAAAAACCTCAATATATTTATTTCTTAAAATAGTTCTTCATAAAAATAAACAATTAATAATTGGCAATATCTATAGACCTCCTAAAGCTCCAGCTGAATCTACAAAATGTATAATATCAACAATTAATTTCTTTGATGATCACACTGAAATGATTATTCTAGGTCATTTCAATAATAACTGGTTAGCTCGCTCATGCAGTACTGATCGTAATTTATTTAGTAGCTCAAACTTACAACTTTTAACAGAACCCACTAGAACTGCAGCAGCTTTGTTAGACTGGATTTTAGTCACACATCCTGACATAAATATCTCTTCTGGAGTCCTGCCTGATTTGTTCAGTGACCATTCTATGATTTATTGTGTTTGGAAAATAAATATACCTCGCCTTCCTCCGAAATTGATCAGAATTAGAAAATGTAAAAAAAGACTCAGAATCCTTCATCCAAGATATAATTAATATAAACTGGGACACATTTCAGTTTATTCCTTTTGTAGAAGATGCTTGGAATTATTTTTATTTATAAGTTTCTAAAGTTATAGATAAACATGCGCCATGGACTATAATTAAAGTTAAGGGAAGACATCTTCCATGGATACATGGTAATTTAATAAATGTATTTAAAAATAGATAATGCATGGAAAAATATCGTTTAACAAGGAACTCTTCAGATTGGGCTATTCATAAGAAATTAAGGAATACATGCACAACTGAAACACGAAATGCAAAAGCATACTATTTTCGGGACTGCTTAGACACAAATTTTAAGAATCCAAAAGCATTTTGGAGAAGAAATAATAATTTAACAAATTACATTTTTAAGAGTAAATAATGAAATTGTTAATGACTCTTCTAAAATTGCTGAAACATTTAATCAACATTTTACTAAATGTAATCCTGTATTCTCTCATTTCATTGATCCTAATTTTAAATCTGACATTCCCAATCCTATTTGTGAAAATTCCTTCTCCTTTAGACTTATTAGTCCTATTGAAGTTCAACAAGTTTTTGATAATCTAGCAGTGCTGGTCCAGACGGTTTAGAAATGAAGTTTCTGAAAATGGCTTCATATAAATGTCTTGGCATATCCTCTTTCAGATTTATTTAATTTATCATTGATAACATGTAATGTTCCATCATCTAGGAAACATACTAGAGTTACCCCACTTTACAAAAATGGTGATCAATTTAACATGAATAATTACAGACCAATTTCAATAATTAAAACTTATTTTTAATCAATTGTCTAATGATATTAACAATTCCAATATTCGATCCACTTTTCAGTCTGGCTTCTGCCCAAATTTTTCTACTACAAGTGCACTTCTAAAATTAAGTAATATTTTATCTTCTTTTGATTCAAGTAAGTTAACTGGTGCCATATTTATTGATTTAACTAAAGCCTTTGACTTAGTTGATCTTTTTTTATGCATCAATACATCTCGAGGGATGGTACTTGGCATATAGGTAAAGAGAGCAGTATGAATGTTTGAGTGAATGACTGTTGTGTTGTATTGTATATTGCAACCTGAAGTTTGTTGTCTGTACTGTTGTTTTTAAGGACCCCTTGAAAACGAGATGTTGCACCTCCTTTAAATAAATACATTTCAAAATTTTCAAAAAAATCAAACAAGAGTGGATGTACAACAATCCGACAGTGTTAAGCACTAGAGAGTAGAAGTGCGTCTTGAGAAGGGTTTTAAAAACCCCAAGCGAGGAGGCTTTCCTGGTATTGATGGACAGCTGATTCCATGGGCTAGGCGCAGCCACAGCAAAAGACCTCTCCACCTCAGCCTTGTCCACAGAACAACCAACTGCAGCTGGTCAGCTGACCTCAACAGGCGTGGTGGATCAAATGGTAGGATAATGTTTGAGAGGTATGATGGTGCCATGCCATATAATAACTTATATGTCAGTGTAAGATTCTTTTAAAAAACTCCAAAAACAACTGGAATCCAGTAAAGAGAAACTACCACTGGGGTGATGCGATCACACCTACAGGCAGGTAGGTGTGTGTGTGCATGCGTGCGTGCGTGTGTGTGTATGTGTGTGTGTGTCCCTAGAAAAATGTAAAGCCCCCCCCCCCCCCCCCCCCCCCGTTTGTTGATTATGTTTGACTGTACCTTTTGTTCAAACTGTGACTTCATAGAGTTCCACTGAATGTCCCACTGCTTGTTTACCTCCAGAACCTGACAGTAAAGCCAGAGAGGAAAAACGAGAAAAAAACTGTAAAAACCACTCAACACATAGGAAGCTAAACTCAATGAAGAAGATGAGCAATCACACACACAAAAAAATGAAAACAGGCTCACATCCTTTCTCTGCTTCTCCAAAAGCTTGATCTTCTTTTCATACACCTCTATGTCACATGGTTTAGCTGGGTTTCTCTCAACAGATTTTCCACTCTGTGGGGGGGGGGCATGACAAAAAAATTTCAAAGTTCCTAACAATCCTTCGATGTGCAGGCAATATGAGCAGGGAGTGACCAATTAATGAACGTTTTTAGCAAATGAATCTCCAAAGGGGAATGAGAGTCTAAAAATGTTATACTTTAAAGTAACTTTAAACAAAACTACCTTCTGAGGCATGGCAGCTTCCATCTTAGGTCGTACAGCAGGCAATTCTTCTCTCACCGTCTCATCTTTGGTCTCTGGAGTCTTTGTGTCTGATGGATACACAGTCGATGCCACTGCCACACCTCCTGTGACTAGCTCCTTAAGTTTCTGGTTCTCCTGTCTAAATCAGTGAGAAAGTGAAAATGATAGCATTTAAGTGCAGGGTCCATTTTCCCTGTTGATGTTTTACTGTGGCTCACTGGCCTCCTCTGGGAAGGACCTACAATACCGGCTGGCTGTCTGAACCGAAAGCACTGAAACTATCCATAAGAAGTGAAAGCATGGTCAACTGTTCCCTTCCAACACAAAATAAGGAATGCGTAACAATTTTTAATACCAAAATAGCAACAGGAAGATAATCACTGCAGCTTTCAGAGAAGCCTTAACAACAAAATGACAAAGGGGAATAAGCACATGTTCACTCGAATATTGTGTAGTTCTTTCAAAAACCCTAAAAAAGCTGAGTAAGTACATTTTATTTATATAGCACTTATCACAGAAAGAAAATCACAAAAACATTGTAAAGTCGTCAAATCATAATGATCTTAAAACAGAACAATTTAAATCAGAAAACAAAGTCATGAAATTATAAAATGATCATAAATATTAGATGATTATACATTTGAGTTAAAAAAAATAAGAAAACAAAAGATTTATGTAAAAAAAGCTTTAAATAAAGGGGTCTTCAGCTATTTTTTAAAGGTGTCCCGACTCCAGTGGTTCTCAACCTTTTTCACTGAAGTACCCCCTGTGAAATATTATTTTCAGCAGAGTACCCCCTAATCAGTGCAAAAGCAATTTTGATTGTAAAAAAACAAAAGACCTTCAATAGAGTATGGTGCCTTCAGTGACTGATTTATTAAATTTTGGAACAGATGAACATGTACAAAATTGAACCATTTGAAAAAAAAAATAACCAATTCAAATAATTTCAATGTTAATAATCCATAATTAAAAGTATTGGAAATATTTTTCATCACTAAAATGTACTGATTCAAATTAATTAATTGAAAACAGTGACTATTTAAAACCATAAGATTACCCATTGAAAAATCCATAAATGTGCAAAACACAGCAAATTTTTTGTAGTCTGTCTTGAACTATATGGAATATATAACTAGAAAAAAAATCAAATACAGGCCAAAGAAATGATTAAGTTAATTATAATTAAAGATTTGTGCACATAAAAAAACAGCATAAAGCCATTGTTGGGTCTTTTTTAAAACACAGAAAAGCTTGCTCTTTACCTTGCTGACAGTTTTGTTCGTGGCTGCAAACACCAAGTGACGCCACCATCAGCGCCAGCTCTGAGGATGTTTGCAGCCGCGAACGAAACTGTCAGCAAGGTAAAGAGCAAGCTTTTCTGTGTTTTAAAAAAGAACCAACAATGCAGTTAGAAAAGCAACACAGCAGGAACGTACCAAATATACATAACATTAAGTGTCATCTTTTGGGATCATAGTATATCTGTTCTCTAAAAGAAATCCTTAACTTATTTTAAATAAAAACAATTGCTAAAAACAAATGTAAATCTCAAAATATATTTTTAAAAATAAAAAAGACGACTGAAATCTTAAAATAACTTCACTTGAACGGAGTGTTTTTACAGACCTTTTAGTGAGACACTTGGGCTCGTGCTTCACGGAGGAACTTTTTCATCCTTGGTGGCAGGAAAACTTCATCTGGAGGCCACGGTCAGATGACACTTCCAAGAGTTTTTCCTGATAGGTGACAGGGAGCTTTCTTCGGTTCACTTCAGACAAGAGAAATGGGTTTCTCACCCAATCCAGCTGTGCAGATTTCTCCTCCATTTCAGGAAAATAGGAATGAAAATCCTGAATCAACTTGGTCAAATGTTCCATGATCATCAACTTCACCTGTGCTCTGTCCACATCCTCACTAGAGAGAAAATCATCCAGATGAGGAAAGCAGGTGAAATCCTTCTGTGCACAGGCCCTCCTCCACAGTTCTGCTTTCTTCAGGAAGCCACCCACCTTGTCATACATGTTAAAATGCTGGTGTTCTTGCCCTGCAGAGATGTATTCAGGTGGTTCAGTTTGCTGAATATATCTGCCAGAAAACACAACTTTGCAAGCCAATCTGTGTCCTGGAACAAGGTGGCATGGGGAGATCTGTGCTCAGTCAGAAAGGTGTGTACTTTGGATCTTGATTCCAACAGCCAGTTGAGTATTTTCCCTCGAGAGAGAGCCAGCGCACTTCTGTGGGCAGCAGCAGTTGTGTGTGTTCAGAGGCGGCAAAACAGGCGCGCATTAAATGGCCTTGACTTAATGAAGTTGATCACGTTGATGCTGCTGTTCAAAACGTCACGTAACACAGGGCTCATTTTCTTGGATGCCAATGCTTTCCTGTGTATGACAGAGTGAGTCCACATCACGTCGGGGTTTTCTTTTTTTAATGCGTGCTATCAGCCCTTTCGCGCGGCCCGTCATTGATGCTGCCGCGTCCGTACAGATGCTGCTGCAGGACTTCCAGCTCAAATCATATTCACAGAAAGCGGCATTGACAACATTAAATATGTCCTCTTCTGTTGTTTTTCCTTTCAAGCTTTTTCAGAATAGTATGTGCTCATAAATGTCATCAGTGTCAACGTACCTCACAAAAGCAACAAGTGTTGCATGTCAAAAACAATGGATGAGGTCAGAAGGTGAGCAGAGATGAGCTCGAGCTAGCTGGTGCAAGTAGAATGATGCAGAAGATAAGAAGGAGTGGTCCAACTGAACAGGAAGCAGAAGAGGTGGTACCGAAGAAAGCCAACTGAAGAAACATCTCAGGAAATGAAAGTCCTCTGTAGAAAGTTCTGGACTTTGGGTGGAGACGGAGACCAGCTTACAAATATGACATCATATGGGTTTGGCTGTCTTGTGTTTGACTAAGATATGAAACAGACAAATAATCACATTGTTTTGCTGTCTTGTGATAAAAAGATGTATGTAACTGGCAAAAGATTACATTGTTGAGGCTGTCTCATGATTAGTTGAGATATTGCTTCACTATGGAAAATGTTTTGCTTGGCAGTTTCTAGAATGCTATATAAAGGGCAGTTAGAAGAGTTAGAGGGAGAGTCGCCAGTGGAGAGACACCAGAAGTTGAGAGTAAAAGTGGGATAGAAGAGGTCGTCCTCCAGCTTACCCCCAAATTCCACTACCTCCGCTCCGCTCCGGTCCGCTCCCGCCTTCCGCAGCCGCTCGCTTCCGAACTCAATTTTTACTGGTACCCGCTCTACAACGGCTCCGCTCCGGTGCGGAGACCTGAGATGGGCAAACAAGCATGCGCGGGATTTTCGAGATCTTGCAATACAGTCCGAGCAATAAACGCGGAAGTTAGATCCAAACACCCGTTGTGTGGGAGAAGCATCGGCATGAACTGTTTAATCTGCCCATCATTTGTGTTGAGAGATCAGCAGTGTTTGGATCAACAAAGTGTGACTACTTTGATAGTGGAAACTGTATTTATGGCTTACTTTTGTGCATTTAAACTTCAGCCGCCATTGATAGTTGTTAAAAGTTGTTAAACCTGTGCAAAAGAAACAAAAAACGCCTTTTGTTTATCGATTTATTGTGAAAAACGGAAGTTGTGCTTGCTCCTTTTCCTGTTGGGCGGTGGTGATTTCTGTCCATTGACTGCGGAGGTGCTCCGGCAAAAATAGGATCGATTCTATTTTTGCCGGACGCCGGAACAGAGGGCGGCGCACTGCGCCGCACTGCCTGAGCACGGCCGCAGTAGTGGAATTGCTCTGATTGACTACAACGGGACCGATTTTGCTCCGGCGTTCGTGTCGGAGCGGAGCGGAGCTGAGGTAGTGGAATTTGGGGGTTAGACTTGGACTTAGACAGAGTTAGTGTGTGTGAGCGTTAGTGTATAACAGTTAGTGTTGACACAAGTCGACCAGTTATTCTCAGGGAGATTTTAGTAACAGCATCCTCCTAAGGGGATTGGTTAATCTTATATTTACCCTTTTTTGTATTTTTTAATTTTGAAATAAATTTTTTGGAAAAAGAATCCTCAGTCTCAATTCTTAAAGATCTCTTTTAGCCTTTAGAGTTGGGGTCCCGACCAGACCTAAAGGAGAGGTAAGCCACCTTGAATTGCTTGTTCCTGTGCTTCAGGACTTGTTTTCAGGCTGTGACAGATTAAGAAAATATACCTTAGGTAATGGGAGCAAGTCTCCCCTCCTCCCCGGTAGCGGGACACCCTAAGGATTATATATCATAATGGCTCGATGGTTCAAACAGGCTCTGTTCTGCAAGTGTGAAAAAGTCTCTGTTTAGCGTGGGAAGGAACCATTTCAAAGGGTGGATTAATTAGATTAATTGATAAATCCATGTTAGCCTGATCAACTAACAGGAATCATTTTCTAGCTATCACCGCCCACATTGCTGACAGAGGCGCAAATTAATCCTGATAGGACCCAAATAATAGTCACAAAGATGGCCTCTCGTGAACTTTCGCCCTAGTATTTAAAACCACTAAATAACGGGAGAGTTAAAAGGAAAGTGTGTTATCACAGAAGAACAAGTACGACAATTTTCATTTCACCTTAAACTAGAAAACGAGTTCTAAATTAGGGAGTCCAAACCAGGGTCAGTACGATAAAACTCACCTGCGGCCTCAACCTCCCTGAAAACGCAGCGTATTCCAAGGTTCTAACGGAACCAATAAAAGTACACGCTCGCGACACAAGTTGTGCATTTCCACTGACATCTGTGGATTCATCCAGCTGGAGTGAAAAGGAGTCCCTAAGTTTTCCCACAACTTGCTCGACAAAGTCTGTTCCTATTTTATCGATTCTGCTGCAAATAGTGTCGTTGGACAAAGGCACAGTCTTTAATTTCTCTGCTGCGTGTCTGTCCAGCATAGTCTCAGCCAGCACTACAGCCACTGGAAGGAGAAGGTCTTCAGCAATGGTGAATGGCTTCTTGGCTTTAGCTATGAGCAAAGCCACTGCATAGGAGGCCTCCAGGGCTTTGGCTGATGTTGTGGATGCCTTCTGCATCTTGTCTTGAGATAATCTGAATTCAGACGGATTCCTCTTTAAAAAATCTGGTGGCTTACCAGCATGACATCCATGTTTTGTCGTAAGATGGCGCTGCAGATGTGCTG